CCCGGCTGGGGTGCTGGATTCTGTCCCAGTTGCTCCTCTTCTAGTCCAGCTCTCTGCTGTGGCCCAGGAAGGCAGTGGAGGATGGCCCAAGTGCTTGGGCCCTGCACCTGCATGGGAGACCAGGAGGAAGCACCTGGCTCCTGGCTTTGGATCAGCCCAGCGCACCAGCCGTAGTGGCCATTTGTGGGGTGAACCAACAGAAGGAAGACTTTTCTCCCTGTCTCTCTCTCTCACTGTCCAACTCTGCCTGTCAAAAAAAAAAAAAAAGATATAATCTCTTTCTAAACACACACACATACACACACACGTGCAATTTATCATATCCAAGAGTAGTTAATCCTAGCAAGAATAATGGCACAACTCATAAAAATGGCAGGGGCAGCCCTGACTTGAAACCTTACATGTTGAAGAGAAAGTTAAGTATACATAGTAAGACTCACAAACAAGAAAAGCAATAGATCTGAAATGACATCATGTGAGAAAGCCAAGCTGAGAGCAACTGTGGCCACTCATGAAGGGAAGGCACAATGGCAGCTTGGCTAAGTAAGTTCATTGTCTTGGTCTTCACAGAAGATGTCAGGGAGATCCTCAGTGGAACAGGACAGGCCAGTGGCAGAAGATTAGATACTGGCAAATGAACAGGTTGTTCTAGGCCCAGCTGATAATGCAGAGGTAGATAAGTTACAAGCACTAGGACATTCACCTACAATACTTATAGGAACTCAAGGGTGAAGACAAGACTCTCTTACCCAAAATGCACAGGCTGCCATTAGCAACAGCTACTGATGACTCCTGGGTTGTCAATCTCAGTCTCTTTCCTGAACATATTGGACAAAGGATTAGAGTGGATTTGTTGAATTCCAGCACATTAGAAACTGCAGAGGCCTTGCCTTGAAGTTTAAATGGAGTAAATTAAGAACAAACAGGAAAACATTTTTTTTCTAAACATTAGTTAGAAAACTTCAGGAATTTATTACTCCCAAAGATGTAGGCTAGGGAACTGGTGTTGTGATGTAGTGGGTTAAGCTGCTGCCTGCGACACTGGCATCCCATATCAGACTGCTGGTTTGAGTTCCAGCTGCCCCTCTTCTGTTCCAGCTCCTTGCTAATGCATCTGGGAAGGCAGTAGAAGATGGCTCAAGTACTTTGGTCCCTGCCACCCACGTGGGAGATCTGGATGGAGTCTCTAGATCCTGGCGTCAGCCTGTCTCAGCCCTAACTGTCGCAGCCACTTTGGGAGGGAATCAGCAGATGGAAGATCTGTTTCTCTCCGCTTCTCCCTTTGTCTCTGTCACTCTGCCCTTCAAATAAATAAACCTTTTTAAAAATATAAATGGATTCCCAAAAAGTTTACATCAATTCAGAGGTAACATACCCAATTGGGAACTAGCATTTCAGGGCAACAACTTGGGGCCCTATGGTTAGCATCTCTGAGACTGACATTGGTGGGAGGGATAAATAAGTTTGCCCCATACTTATTGGTTCTTCTAGGCTGGGCCTCTTGGCCGATGCTGCCACAGCTCCATAGGCTAATCCTCTGCCTGCGGTGCCAGCCCACCGAGTTCTAGTCCCGGTCGGGGCGCTGGATTCTGTCCCGGTTGCTCCTCTTCCAGGCCAGCTGTCTGCTGTGGCCCAGGAGTGCAGTGGAGGCTGGCCCAAGTGCTTGGGCCCTGCACCCGCATGGGAGACCAGGAGAAGCACCTGGCTCCTAGCTTCAGATCAGTGCGGTGCGCCAGCCACAGCAGCCATTGGGGGGTGAACCAACGGAAAAGGAAGACCTTTCTCTCTGTCTCTCTCTCTCTTACTGTCCACTCTGCCTGTCAGAAAAGATAAAAAATAAAAATAGGCTGGGCCTCTTGTGATTCCTCTATGTAAGCAATTCTTCTCTTTTTCTTGCACCTCACCCCCTCACTTTCAGTTCTGCCTTTCTGGTTTCATGTCTAATAAAAAGCCCAGTGGACAGTCACCGTGCTTCTGCCTGGGGCAGACCTGCGCTTGGACAGTCCTGCTTCATTTCTTCTACTTTAGAGTGCAATCTGTAGCACCACGAGGCACACAATACCTGCCCAGGGCCAGGGAGAGGACAAGCTCACACTTCACCCTTGGCTTCCAGAAATGCTAAGTGTTCCCAACAGACCAAGGGCTGCCAAAGCCTCCTTCCTTCTCCATGCTAATGGCCCCCTGCCCTGTGCAAGTGCTGATGAGTTCTCCACCAAAGAAAATGGGGGGGGGGGCACTGGGGAAGTAAGCAATTTCAGTAAACAATTACCCTTTTATAGATTTCCTCCTCCACCTGCTGCCCCCAAACAAAAATAAGTGAGGGCTTTTGTGACGCTGGAGTAAGAGATTATATATATATTATATATATATAATGTGTGTATATATATTATATATATAAACATTGTGATTTAATGCTATAACTAGTACTCAAACAGTATTTTTCACTTTGTGTTTCTATGTGGGTGCAAACTGTTGAAATCTTTACTTAATATATGCTAAACTGATCTTCTGTATATAAAAAGAATTGAAAATAAATCTTGATGTGAATGGAAGGGGAGAGGGAGAGGGAAAGGGGAGGGTTGCGGGTGGGAGGGAAGTTATTGGGGGGGAGAAGCCATTGTAATCCATAAGCTGTACTTTGGAAATTTATATTCATTAAATAAAAGTTAAAAAAAAAAAAAAAAAAGACGACATACCAAGGACAGCACCCTTGCAGTGCTCACCATGACCTAAAGGAGACACAGACCTGGAATCTGGAGGGTAAGCACAAGACAGAAGGTGGAGGACGGTCCCTCTGGTAACTAAAGGAACTATACGATGGAGGCCTTGTCATTTCCAGGTCACCCACCTTAGTGAATTCCAACTCAAAGGCCACCTCAAGGTCAAAAGGCCGTATTCAAAGAGTGACTTCCAAACACAGGGGACTTGGCCCAGGGACAGAAATACTGTGGCAACATAACCCTGGGAGGGAAACGTGTTTCCAGTTACATCAGGGCCTGGCCCAGCCTTCCCCACAGGCTCTTCCTAAATAGGAACTTGGCAATGGTTCCGGCAGAGCTGGAGGGGCCATCCTTGGCTGTGGAGGTGAGGCCCTTCAGCGTCCTGAGGCGAGTCAGGCAGAAGTTCTCCCTGCTGGGAATAACACTGAAGAATCAGCCTCACAGCCCTTCTATTAATTTTCTTGACAGGCAGCTCTAGTTACCATGCAGGCACCACAAAATCAAAACATACGCATGTCAAGTGGCCCCATCTGTGGTGGGGCCCTGCCAAGCCCCATGTCACACCAACACGAGGCAGCAGAGCCCAGCTCCGCAGGCCACGTGCTCGGTCCTGTGAGCAATCCCCTGTGGGCAGCAAACCACCAGGGCTCAGCTGAAGGAGGTGGAGGGGTTTCCATGGTGACCGTCCTCTCTCCTAGGCCTGGGCTGCTAGCGCTGAACACAAGAGCCTGGGGAGACACAAGGCTACGTCTGGCTTTGGGACTTGCCTCCAAACCGAGTCACAGAGGACCCCCTTGCCACCTCCCCTTTGCCTGTGTGGAGATTTGTCCACGCAGGACAAATGGCAGCCTGGATTAGGAAGACACTTAAGGCAAGGTGGTCCCCCTCTTTGTGAGCTGAGTTGGAGTTCACAGTGCTGTTGAGCTGCGGTCTTTGGGTGCATAATGAGAAAAGGAGGAGTTTTTAAATCAAGGTATTAATCGCAATGAGTCTTAGTAAAATCATCGAGGAAGCGCCAAAACAATTTGTTCTTCTTGTAGAGCAATGTTAATTATCTACTGGTTAAATAATGCTAATTGGGTGGGTACAAGGGTAAGGACCTAGGAAAACTCCTGCTCCATTTAACAATTCAGAGGTGCCAAGGGTGAGTGTTAGCAAATCTCATCCTCAAGCTTCCCACCCACCCCTCTCTTGTAGCCAGGGTCCTTTTTTCAACTCCAACAAATAGTCCATTGGTGGTGGATGCAGCATCCATGGCAGCAAAATGCTGGAGGTCTCACATCGTAGATTTTAGAGCCTCTGGGACTTTGTGGGTACCTGTCAATTTCTATCTTCAACCACTACTACATCAGCTGGTTATCTAACAGGAAGGAGGATGCAAACCAGATAAGGGGCTAGTTTTATCAGTTGCAAATCAGAAAAGCCCCAACTAGACATGTTCATGGCACTAGTTTGCCACTTCAGCTATCTAAGCTAAGAACAATCCAAGGGTAAAGACTGGAGTTGCTGTTATCCCGGGATTCAAAAGGCTTCCTTGCAAAGACTTGGGGCCTTCATTCAAAGCCCTGGGAACAGATTCCTGGGCTGGCCTGGCATGTGAGGATGGAGGTGGGCCTTCCTCTCCTTGCCTGGGTTGTTCAGCAGGTAGCGGCCACTCTGGGGACTTAGGAGTGGCTGTCCTGCCAGTTCCATGGAGTACTGGCTGAGAAGGAGAAGAACACATCCAGGCTGTTGTCTCACAGCATGAAGGCCTCAGTTCACCGCTTCACTTTCCACTCAAATAACCATGGCATGTCAGCCCTGCTGGCCTCCTTGATTGTACAGAAATAAATAAATGAATTATGTTGTTGGGGTTTGGGCTTCAGCACAAACACATGGTTTGCATTTATCCACACAGTGAGAGGTCCACCAGCCACTTGATATAAAAGAGCAAAATGATAATTCTTTTCTTTAGGCACTCTGGTGCCATATGGAATGTATATAAATCATATTTTTGTTTTAACAGCGGAGGCTTTGTTGATAGATAAACATGTGGTTTATCTAAAAAAAGAGAGGATTGTGCTTTGAACAATCATTTAATGGCCATGGATGTGCCAAATAAAAATAAAAACATAATTTTGAAAGGAGCTGGCCTTGTGCCCAAATCCATAACAAGGAATTTCTTCTTAACCAAAGTGGTTAAGGCCCATCGATCTGTTTTGAGTTTAAGCCGTGCTCTCTACTCAACCCCACGACACATGGAATCCCAGGCTAATGCACTCTAATAAGAGAAGACGTTACCTTTATGAACGACCTCATGGAGAAGAGATTGGCGAGCATCGTGGAGAGGCCTTGGGCCAGGCAGCTCTGGGCTATGAAACCCAACTTCAGCTCTGCAAGGCAGATTGCGTCATCACCCTCTTTCCAATTCCAGCTTGGGATGTTTAGCAGATGGGCCTGGGGAAACAAAACCAGGTATGAGACCTCGCTTTGTGAAATGTTCAATTGTTTAGAATCTCTTCTGGGAAACGCCGCACTGCCCAATTACTCAGGGTCATCCAGACTCGTCCTTGCTTCACTTTGCCTGGGTCTGGCATTTGGTGGTTTGTTCTACTCTCTGCGCCGCCAGACTCCAGTCTCTCTGGAATGCTGCTTCTGCACCTACGGGGAGTCCAAGTTCTCCCCTTGGGTTTGCCATGGAGCCCGAGAGAGCCCACAGGGGATTTCCTGTGATGACAGACACATCAGTTGGGAGACGAGGACGTCTGACTAGCTTGTTCATGTTCTGGCTCCGTACGTGGACTGTGAGACTGTCAGATGCCTGAGTATTTTGGATTTTCTTAAAGGGGCCTTTCAATATTCCAGATGAGGGACTCCCAAGCTTGAGCAGGCAACAAAATCACAGATTGTGCAGCCTTAGACTGCTGGCCTCACCCCTGCGTTTCTGACTCAGTGGATCTGGGGTGCAGCTGGGGACCTGCATGTCTGACGTGCGGGGGGGATGCTGCTCCTGCTGCTGCTGAGCTGGGGGCTACACTCTGAGAACCACTGCCCCAGATCACCGGGTAAATCACCGTGTAGACCTTTCACAACGTGCTCCTATAGACAATTAGATCAGAGCCTGAGACGAGGGCCTGGAGAAATGCTTACCCAGTTACTTTTAAGCAACTTACAGGGGAGACTGGCAGACAATAAGAGGGGGTTGCAAACACTTGATAGAAAAATGGAGGTGAAAAATAAGTTTATGTTGGTGCAAAAAATTCTGTGAAATCCATGCATAGTTTGTTCATAATATATATTTTCCATGAACTTTTTGAAAATCCTCCCTATACTTTGGGTGAAACAAGTGAAATTCAAAGAGTTCTCTGGAGTTGGAAAAATTAGAGGGAAAAAAAAAAACAGAAAATAATTACAAGGCCTAATGTCAAGTATGGCAACTTGGTTTAAAAAAAAAATTCCATAATTTCAAAATGAGAAGACCTCACCTCACTGGTAGCAGACATAAGAGAAAACAAACAAAAAAAAACAATAACACAGAGCAACATTAAAGAATGTGAGTGACTACAGCCTCAAGAAGAGCCCAACTGTGTGATACATTGCAGAGAAAGCCAAGCTGTGATTGGTTTCCGTAGTGTAGTGGTTATCACGTTCGCCTCACAGAGAAAGCCAAGCTTTGGTTGCTAGAAAAACAGACACAGGGACGTGAGCATTTCATCCTGTTGTGAACTGGGCAGATGGGTTCCAGAGTACTTGATCCAGTTTCTTTTATTTGACAGATAGACAGTGAGAGAGAGAGAGAGAGAGAGAGAAAGGTCTTCCTTCTGTTGGTTCACTCCCCAAAGGCCGCTACGGCCAGAGCTACACTGATCCAAAGCCAGGAGCCAGGTGCTTCCTCCTGGTCTCCCATGTGGGTGCAGGGGCCCAAGCACTTGGGCCATCCTCCACTGCCTTCCCCTGATCCAGTTTCAACAGTCAGACTTAAAGAAGGAAAATGATCAATGGTGTTACACCCAGAGCAAAGTGGCGAAGACAAGAGAGGGTGAGCATTCCGGAAAACATCCTCTGAAGAATGGTTAAGAGGCCAGCAATGGGCTGGCACCGCGGCTCACTTGGCTAATCCTCCACCTGCAGCACCGGCAACCCGGGTTCTAGTCCTGGTTGGGGCGCCGGGTTCTAGTCCCGGTTGCTCCTCTTCCAGTCCAGCTCTCTGCTGTGGCCCGGGAAGGCAGTGTGATATTTACCAGCTGGTCCTGACTCTGGCTCCTTGAACAAAGCAGGATGAGCATGGTTCTGCATGTGCCAAGAGTCCATGGCCCTCAAATTATTTCTCCCCATGTATCAGCAGACACAAGGAGCTCCCTCACTTGCAAGACAGCACACACAGTTGTACCAGGAGGATGGAGGAGGCTGCTGTGCAAAGAACAAGGTCAAGGGCTTCGTGCGCTGCTGTCAGAAATGCCACTCTTGTGAAATTCCCTTTTTGCAAAAATCTACTTCTGTGACAACCCTGAGTCCTAAGCCAGCACTGATTCCTCCTGGGGGAGAGGACTCTGTCCTCCCCGATGTGAACATGGCTGCATGTGGGCCACACAGCAGAAGGGAACATCTGTGGGGCTGAGCGTCAGAGAACTGCCCCCCATCTTGGAGTCAACTCCCTCCCACCACTGGCCCTGCCCTTGGCCCATTTCTCTCCCTACTCATCACTGGCTTACAAAGCCACTTTCCCACCTCGTGGCCCTAGCACTGTGGAGAGCACGTCAGTTTAAGTGGATAAATATTGACTTGCAGTCACATCATCTGAGAAGAATGGAGAGAAATTAACTCTTGAGTAACGACCAAGTAAATCATTGTGAGTGAAAGGAGACTTGGGTGGTCCATGCCCCAGAGACACACCACAAAGCCTTCATGCCACCCTCAAACACACACAGAAAACCCTTCCAAGGAAATCTCTCCTATCCCCCAAGTGTCATCCAGGATCTAACACCCGTGTAGGCCGTGGGTCTCGCATGCCCTCATCTGGTTTGAGTTCTTTAGACATATTTTACATGTTATTGCACAAGAACACCAAGTTTGTTTCATGTCTCAGGATTCCATGGTCTCCTCTCGGGCCCTGATGTTTTCCCCAGGCATGGGGCAGGGAGTGAGGGTGATGTGCCAGGGACTAGCAGGGAGGTCTGTGTGCATGGAACAAAGAGAGCAGATGGGCCCACGAACTCACATTCTCTGTTTCTGACAACTTTGTCCTTTTTCATTTGAGTCTGGTAGAAAATGCCAGGCTTACCAAATACACAGCAGTCGGGAGGCAAATCCTCTCTAATGCGGAGATGACAAAGAGCAGGTCTACCAGGACCAGGGCTTCCTTCCACTTCTGCCACTGCACCACCCTCATCTCACGGAGAAGGAACGTGAAAATAGGCTGTCTCGGGAAATGCATTCCAGCCCTAGTTTCAGCTCTCACTATGGACAACGGACTTTGGAGAAGCCACCACGAAGAACAAAAAAAGGCCACAGAACAGGAAGCACCTTAATACAACTACACAAGTATAAGCGTTTCCAGTGAGGCAGCTCACAGGGCTTGCCTTTGCATTAGGCCATTGGCACATGGCTTCCAAGTCAGAGACAATGGCCTCCTTTGCTGGAGTCTATTGGGAACATTTTTTTAAAGGTCATCAATAGGTAAATTATTGGGAGTGATACTTTGCCAGCCATCACGAACCATTCTTGAAGAGCTTCGAGCCACTTAAGCTCACATTAGAAGGAGCTCTGGCCCACCTTTCTTTTGCATTCAGAGATGGCCAGACTGAATATGCTTCTCTCCACGGGAAGTGTGGTCATATGAAAGATCTCTTTAGAGAGCAACAGCCCTTCTATGCAAGGCCTACTCTCAGGAAACACAGCTTGGTCCAAAGGGCTATGGCTCCACCGAAAGAGACAGTGGCAGCTGCAAGTCCATCTCTTAGCTTGCTGGCACTGAACGAGCATGGTTTGTACCCAACAGAGTTGTTCTCTGTATGACAGAGCTTAGACTCCCTAGTCTGAAGTTACACTGGGATGCTAAAATGCACAGATGGTCCAATGAGGACTAAATGAGATAATGGATGTCAAAGCTCTTTTAAAATCATAAAATACGACACAAATGTCTATGGTTATGATGATGACAAATGTGGGCCAGTTTTACACAAAGCGAAAGCAGGCAGTTTCCCTTTATCCCTCTGGGCTCTAGACATCACCATCACTAGATCACAAAGGGTTGAAATGTTTTCTAGTTCAAGGCTGGTGTCCAATGATGGAATGAACTATCCCTTGGAGTATGTTCGTTGTAACATGAATTTACATGCACATCCCAGATCTTCCCGAAAACAAGTTTTACTGGTAGAAATTTCTGGATATCTAAGGCAGGTATAGAGAAAGAACCAAGATGGGAAGAAAACAAATATCAAAAGAGAAAAGAAAGAAAACACGTTAAAAGGTTAGGTGGAAGCATCTTAAGATACACAGCAAAACTGTGGAGGAAAAGAGAGAATGTCCTACTGGAGCTCTACAAGGAATGGGGTCAAAGCGATGACCAGGGTGTTCGTCCTCTCGCTGGAAGAGAGAGGATGAAATGGCAGAAAAACACACCTTGGGTCAAAGTCACTCTATCCCTGGGCCTTCCTAATCTTACAGGGATCTGTAAGTGATTTTTGCCTAACCCTCAAACCCAAATATTCCTAGATAATTCTAAACAAAACGTGTTCTAAACAAATAATTATGGGTCGGTGGGTGGCTTCATTGCTGTTCTGGGTACCTCAATGCCTAGATTCGTCAGACATCAGGTGCTAGGATCATGCTATTCCCGGCCAGGTACCATCTGGATGTTAGGCCAGTGAGCTACTTTGAGTTTGACAAGAACCACATAACAGTAACTCTCCTTAATTTCTTGAAGGCACTACATAAGCACTCATTGGAAGGAGACAAAAAAAAGCAAGAACTGACATCCCTTTCTACACATACAACATTAATTTTCCTATTCAATCTAAATTCAGCCAAAAATCTAAACAACAGCTTAAAGTACTCCCACACTAAAGGAAATTTCAAATAACAAATGAAAGAAGGAACAGTCACAGCGGCAGGGGCTGTCACCAGTCACAATCTTATTAACAAAATTCACCCCTGCCTACAAGGGCTGCTGTCAAAAAACAGCCCCGGGCTGACGCCTGTGGGTTCCCAATGTCCTCACTTTCTCTCTTCAGTGTCCTTGAGTTTCCAGACAGGAGAACGTGACCTGGTGGTGCCCACCACCAAGCCCACTGGCTGCAGAGCAGCGTGTGCCGCAGAGCCACCTGCTGAGGGCTGGCCAGTGCTTGGCAGCGGGCAGCAGTTCCCAGCCGTGGGCCAGCCACTGACAGCAGGCTCCACTCAACAATGGTCGCTGCTGGGCCTCCACAATGGGCCGGCGTTTGCCAGCAACTGCCAGCAATTACAGGATAATGGCATGGTGCTGGTGCATTTGGCAGAAGGGGGATTTCTCTGGGTCACCTGATGGCCTATTTCGCAGGGAATATGGCCTGTAAGATGGGGCACACTCTCACTCATCACCCAGCAGGGAGTTATTCTGTTCAGACAAGACACCTGGCCCCAGGTATGGCGTGGCCTCCAGTTTCAAAGCTTCATTAAAGGAGAAAGCTGGTGCTGTGTCAAGCAGAGCAAGGTGCCACCTTTCCTCCCCCAAAGCTGTCTTCTGGGGAGTTTACTGACTGGCCAAGTGAAGGAGCAGAGCCCCTGAATGAGAGACTGGACCCCGGTGTACTGAGGGGTAATCACGGGAAACAACGCAGACTCTGATGTGTGTTTTCTTCCCAATCAACCCCGAGCTAAACATTCCTTTATGTTCAATCTCTGGAAAGTCAACTATCTTCCTAAATTCAGCTCTGCAAATTCTCATCCCGAATGCGAGAATGCCATGCTGCACATCCTGTGTCCAGCACGACACTCCTTCAACGCACCTGATGTCAGATAGAGACGCCCTGTCAGCTGCCTGGGGCCTGCTTTACCCCTGAACTCTTCAGCTGAGGGCACAAATCCAGCCCCCTCCTTCAATGACAGCCCTCTGGGCATCAGAGAGTGCTCGCTGCACAGTAGCGAGTCAATCACTAACGCAATGAAGAAATGCAGTACATAAAGATGAAGCTGTTGGAACCAAGGTATGGCTGCAACCTAAGAATACAAAATATCCAATCCTGACATTCAATGGATGCTTCCTGAAAGAACAAATCGGTACATGAAGGAGTTCCCCTCTAGTGGCCAGCTGCAAACCAGTTGTCAGGAGTAAAGAAATGTGCCAGGGATATTTTTGGTTTTAACTTATTTGAGAGGTACAGAGACAGAGCTGGAGGGCTGGGTTGAGGATCATATGCAAGCGCACTCATTAGCTGATTCATTCCCCAAATGCCTTCAAAGAGCGGGTCTGTACCAGGCTGAATTCAGGGGCTGGGAATTCAATCTGTGTCTCTGGTATGGGTGGAAGAAGGGACCCAACTGCTTGAGCCATCACCTGATGCCCCCCAGGGTGCACATTCGGAAGCAGCTGAAATCAGGAGCCAGAGCAGAGACCTGAACCAGGCGCTCCAGTGTGGGATGTGGGTGTCTCACTCGTTAGGCCAGACATCCACCCCTGCTGGGGAGATTTCTATCTTCACTCAGGCCTTTGTCTTGCACTGGTGTCCGTGTGTGGGCACACTCATGTGTGGCTGCATGGAGAGGTGGCAGAGACTGAAATGACAGCCATGGAGATGCCTTCAAGCCTGGACCAGGCCCTCACTGGCCTACCTTATTGTGGTACTGCAGCATCTGGGTGATGATCCGTATCTTCGGATGGTAGTTCTTTATGGAGATGACTCTGCAAAAGAAAGAACCAACGCTGAGGCAAGAAGGGCCTGTCCCACAGAGTCTGAGAGGAAGATGAACCTGATTATCTCCAAATGGGGCACATGTGGGGCCAGCAGCCAAGGCCATTCAGAGGGCCTCAAGGCACTGGACCAACTTCAACAGCATTTCCGCCACCTTACCTCTTGGTGGTGTTGGAAGAGAAATCACAAAATTGTCACAGGCTATTTCCTGGGCTAGTGTGCAGCAGCTGTGGGATGCCTTGGTGCTGGGGTGTGTGTGTGTGTGTGTGTGTGTGTAACCTGGAGGACTTGGGAAGGAATTCTGAAACAGGAGCCACAGACTTACTACCTGATGAAACAAGGACATAAGCCTTAGCCATTCTCACTCATCACCCAAAAGAGAGATGAACACTGGAATTGATCCCTTGCCCTTGGATCTCAATCAAGTCTCCCACCCTATTGCCTTGAACCCCTATTGAACCCCTGCATTCTTTCCCAGGTTCCCAAGGCACCACATGGCCACCTGAAAGACCAGTTTCAGGAATTCACCTCCACCTGATGCCCCCTACCCGCAACCCCCATCCCTAGCCCTCCTAAAATATAAAAAGGCCCAGCCCCTTAGTTCAGGGCCTTCTGCCACGTGTTCCATCAACATGCATGCCAACAGTTGGTCACCTACCTATACAAATTTATTTTCTCTGAATAAATTCGGTCTGGCTGTAGATTGGTGTAATGCCTCCTCTCTATTCTGTGCCTCTTTTCCTAACACTACCCATGTGGACATGGAAAGCAAGCTCAGAGCTTGGGGTCTTGGGCATGTGTCACCTCTCACCTTCTGGGGGCCACCTAAAGATAATGTGCTCTGAGTCTGTTCTCTGAGTTAATAACTTAAGACAACAATGACAAAGCAGACAAGCAGCATGCCAAGTGGCTCTATCGTCACACACACTTGGCCACTTGCAGAAATGGTGGCTACGCAGGGTTCTTAAGATGGGATCTGGGACTGAGCGTCCCATAGCTAACCGAGTCTAAACAATAATATAAGGCTGGTTAAAGACAAGTGCCAAGGTCCTGTGGGGGGTCATGAGTTGGTGGAAAATCTCAGTCCGTACTCTGTAGCAACCCACATCGCCTGCCCCGACCCAGCCCTCAGCCCTCACTGGTTCTCAGTAGTGTCAATCACTGTGCTGAGAGGGGAGGGGCAGAGAGCAGCAGAATGGAAACACCTGGGCTCCAGTCACAGCTATTGTGCTAAGGAAAGGGGCGACCTTCAGGAAATCCCTGAGCTCTCTGGTCCTGTTTCCTCATCTGGACACTGGGGGCACCGGTACCTGCTTTATTTACTTCACAGGCTTGGTATGAGCAGCAAATGGGAGACCAGATGTGAGAATGCTTTGAAATCATTAAAAGCTCTCTCCACGTGTAAGTTATGGTTTTTGTCATTACCGACTCTGTCAGAGGTGACATTGTACATTTCCTTCTGTGACAAGGAAAGCTAACGAATGGAATTCCACAGAAAGGCCCACCTCCTAAGCCTCATCAGGGATGCAAGCGCAGGTCTTACCACCGCCCCCACGAACTTCCCACCCAGCGACGCTCCCTGCTTCACCCCTTCTTGTGCAAAGACGGGGAGAGAAGGCAGCCAGGGCGCAGTTTCAGCTGAAAAGCTGCAACTTGGGAATTCAGGAAATGGATCACACCCCAGCTTCGCCCTGCACAAATCCACCCTGGGCTTTTGCACTTGACGGATTTCATTTTATTTTTGAAGAAGTGCTGTGTTGGGCGATGCTTATAACTCAAGGGCTCTGAGCCTCTGTCAGCCCCGGCCCTGCAGTTCCCAGCGTCAGGATGCTCTCTGCACTCCCTCCTTTCAAACAGATCTTTGACATTTTAATTTCAGAGGGGGCAGACTGGTCTCATTAAACTAAGCAGGAAAGAGGATTATACAAATAAGAGGAAGACAGAGCCCATTCTTAACCCTGAGCTTCCCATCTCCTTTTGCTAACTGGCCCTTAGTCCTGCTTCTCCTTCATGGATGGCGTCACTACATTTCTGATACATTTCCCCAGTCATTTCTATGCCTAGGACCTAAACGTCTTCGACCTCATCACAGAGTGCAAATACAGTATTATGATGAAGACAGATGTCCACATCAAAGCTGTTACCCTTTCCTATGATCACTTCTGCAGGATGGGGCCAGCCCCAAACTTCTCTGAGGAGTCTCAACATAAAGCTTCCTCTTTTTTTTTTTTTTTATTTGAAAACAAATGAAGCCTAGTTCCTTAAAATCTGCATTTTCATCGCTTCAAATAATAGGAAAACATGTCGCAGGACAGATATCCTATTTATTAAAAAAAAAAAAGGACAAGTGACACATCCTAAAAGGAGGCTGGCACAGCCACTTTCCAGGTGTGTCTAGTTGGGGAAGGGCCCAGGTGTGAAGCCAGGCCCCATGGTGCTCTCTGCACAGCCTGGAAGGAGCTCCCCCATCAGCTTCCGGGAAACGATTACGCACATTGCCAAAGCAAAATGAGTGGAAAGAGAAGCCTGTTCCAGATGTTGCCTGCGAGACATCAGGACCAGATGCTGTGGGGAGAGCTCATGCATCCGGAATGGACAGGAGGATTCCCTCACCTCACTGAAGGGAAAGCTCCTATCTCTTGGGGCCACTGATTAAAAGCAAAGACAAAGGCCCTGGCCCCAGGTCAATCCCCAGGGCTCAGAAACCCAAGCTGCAGGGAGAGGGGGGTCTTTGGACCAAAGGATTGCTGTGTGCAATTAGGGGAGGGTTCCTGAGAGGACAGTGGGAGTGACGTTTCTCTCCCAAAGATTCTCTGTCTTATCCCCGTCCAGCTCAAACAAGTGCTCTGCAGTGACGCTAAAGAAGAGACAACGTGCAAAGGACCTTTAACTACCTAGAGAAAAATGTCCTGACTTTTGAAGTCATTTCATAGTCGTGGGATGTGGCTAGGGGTGTATGGAAAGAACAAGCACCCAACAACTTTGCTTCTGAAATGAGAAAGGGATATGGGGCCGGAGATGGGGCCGCAAGTAGCCCTGGATGGCCCTGCCTCCTCGCCCAGGACAGCCACGGCTCGCCCTCCACCCCAGGCCTGTGCAGGAGACTTCTCAGAGAAAAAAAGGCCTGGAAGACATAGCCCCCTGCAGAGTATCCCAAAAGGCTGCGAGTGGGACACAGCCCCCAAGGTTACCTCATGATGTTGGAGGCGTCTTCAGCGTCGGGGTCGGCGCAGTACTTGTTGGCAAGGATCAGGCACGCATCTGCTGACTCTATCTAAGACACCAAAAGGAAAAATCACAGAACACAAACATATAAACAGCCACGCTCCACTGCGGCCTCTCTCTCTTGACAGCTCTCTGAGAGAGCCTGGTGCTTTGCAAAAAAAGCAGAAAACAATCCTGAGAGATTATAGTTTTTGTCAAAAGTGTAGGTCGTGCATTCTTCTTACAGTGTAAACATTTCATCCTGTTTCTGTCTGAGGATACATCGTGTACCTTGCTAATTGTACTTTTCATTTGGCACATTTGCTTACACGTAGAAACAATTAACTAAGTCTCCAGTTCGCCCCTCACCTCCTTCCTCAACCATCTGCATCATCATCCTCATTTTTCCAGTTAGGGAATGAAGGCCGGTGGGCTAAACCAGTCAGCCAGTTAGCTGAGCAGTGAGGAGTTCAGAAATTTAGCCTGCCAAGCGCTATGTCGTCACTGTCTGTGGACCAGGAAGAGATCAGCATCCCAAGCCAGATACCTCAGCACTGCTCAGTATTCCAGTAGTGTTCAAGCATTCAAAAGACAAGAAATCAATGTGCATAAAAGGGTTTGCTACAGACACACTCAAAACACAACTTATCTAAACATGAGCCGAAAGGGGGTTCTTCCTTAGGGGGGACTGTGAGCTCCATGTGCTAATAACTGTTTGCATTTAAATTAGGTCCATGAATAATAACCACCTTCTCTAAGTTCTCACAAGGCTTCACTTTATGCACCACTTGGGTCATGCCTGGGTAATAGGAACCAGACTACATAAGCGTTAGAATTCTCCTGCTGGTTCACGTTGGAAATCGGTCCTGCGTGGTGTGTTGTCCCTCACAGAAAGGACACGGTTGCATCTGCTGGGAAGGTGCAGTCCCCTCCATGGTATGTCACAAATTGTCTCAAGATTCCTTTGACAATGCCAGCAATTTACCCAAATCCGTTTGGATTGCTCATATTTTCCAACTTTATTACTTACAGAATTAGTGATGGCCACAGCCAGCATTAGGCTTCAGCGAACTCACAATACTAATATCCACCCACTGGCATGCAAATGCGAGGTATGCTTACAAAATGAGAGTGCAGCACACGCCATTTTGCCTTTCCCTTCTAAGCTTCACACGTGCTGCATGAGAACATCCTAACTTAGCAAGATCTGGAAAGAAAGATGAGCTCATTATCAAGTGATGTCCAACACCAGCAGGTGCACTTTTGCCGCCTGAGTCTTTAGTTGGGGTGGAAAATGCTCAAAATGGTTTATGGCTTAGTAAAATTCGATTTCATACTGTACCCTAATGTTTCTCTCAGATGTGAAAACTAGGTGTCACAGCTATATTGAGGTCAACGTAAGCATTCAAGATGGGGATTACTTGACTATTACATTACATGTAAGATTACTGGATGGGTACAACTGGTCTACTCCTTTAGATGTAAGTTTCATGCTGAAAGATGTTAAGTCCCAGTGAGGAATTCTTCTAGGTGGTCCAGTACATGCCAGTAGGTAGCATGAGGTCCTACGCCCAATAGAAGGGTGACGTCAAGGCTGGGATGTGACTTATTTCATTAGGGGTTTAGGAGATGACATTGGTCATTCCGGGAGTCATATTCCCCTCATCAAAGAGTCAGACTGCAAGATCCACCCCTCCCCCCAGACGGAATAAATGCAGAAGTCACCTCTTCCTCCTTACCTTGACTCGTGCAAGATCATGTGGATTGAGGACTGAACCCTGATAAAATTCCACCTGAGTAAAATGTCTTTTGAACAGAGCTTCCAGCTCCAGGTTAGGGGAAATGCTGCAGAGAGAAGGAACAGGCATTAACATACAGGAGCTGGGGTTTCCAGCTGACATGCCCCATTTCCCCCTCTCTCTTCCATATTGGGACTTGGGGAAAGACTTCCACCTCAAAGCAGCCCTTTTTCTTGCCATAAATAGAAGGCTCACATTCAAGAAAGGTAAAATCCAGCTCAACATAAAACCAAAACCAGCACCAATGTAAAATGAAGGAGTTCATGGTCTTTATAAAGGTTGAGACCTACAGGATACAATGTCTTCATTTTGTGAGCAGAGAAGCTGGGGCTGTAATGCAGGACAATAGTTAATTTTGTGGGTCCATGTGACTACAACACAGGTGAGGTGCCCAGGTTAAACATTATCTCTGGGTGTGTCTGCATGAGATTCCTATCGAGTCAGCAAACTCACTAAAGTAGTTTGCCTTTCTCAGCAGGGAGGGTCCTCATCCAATCCTTTAAGGGCCTGAAGAAACCAAAAGACAGAGGGAGGAAGGATCTGCTCCTTTTCCTTCTTGCTTGCTTCCTTGAGCTGGGACATTTCACATCATCTTCTCTTACCCTTGGGCTTGGAGGTACAGCACCTACAACCTGCCTCCCCACCCCGCCCTGCCACTGGTTCTCAGGCCTTTTGACTCAAACTGAAATACACCCCAGCCTTCTGGAGTCTCCAAGCCTCCAAACAGCAGATTGTGGGACTGCACAGCCTTCATATTCAAGTGTGCTAAACCCTCACAATCAATCTCCAGATCAATAGATAGATACAGTCATTCCTCAGTATCTGTAGGAAATTAGATCCAGGACCCATCATGGACCAAAATCTGAGGATAGTTAAGTCCCTTATATAAGGGGATCTGTTATACACAATGCTGCATTATTCACATACAAACTATATACATCCTCCAATATAAGTCACCTCTAGATTGCTTATAATTCCTAAAACAATGTAAATGAGATATTATTATACCTTATTGTTTAGGAATTAATGACAAGAAAAACAAACTCTGATCCGAACAGTACAGATGCTATTTTTTCTCACAATTTTTGACCCATGGTTAGCTAAATTCAATGATGCAGACCCTACAGATACAGAGGGCCAGCTCCCTGTAATCTCTACCTCTACCTCTGTATCTGCAGCTCTCACCTACTGACTTTCGCTGGAGAACCCTGACTAATACAAGAGAGACTGGCCCAAGATTCCCCCAGCAGGGCCATTCTGCTCTTAGGAGGCTTCCCCTGCTTCCCAGCTTGACAGATTTCTCATTCTCCAGGCCTAGATCCAAAAAGTCACCTCTGTGAAGCACGGGACTTAATTTACTCTTAGCACTGATGTTGTTTCTATGTGTGCATGGTCCTCACGACCATTCTTAGGGCAGGACTGTGCAGACACTCACTGGAGGATAAGGATGTAACAAGTGACCCATTTACTCCTTGATTAACTCTGCAGAGACATAAAATATCTACTACCTATAAGTACTGTGTTAGGAATTAGCATGTCAGCTACTGTGCTAAGTCAACTCTTGCTTGCCACTTATTATTTAGCAACATTCATTGTTCACGTTTTTGAACATTTCCTAAGTGGCGGACAATATTCTAAGCACTTGGCAATTATTAGCTCATTTAAACTCATATCATCAAGTCAAAGCTTCAGGAGGTTAATGAACCGGGTCATCTACTGCAAATCTGCTATTGATATATGCTGAGGACGCAAAGGTGAATGCTAGCGATTGAAGCATTAGCAGGTGGCTTTTTATTCCAACTTAAACAGGAGGTGAGAGAAGAACAGCCCCTTTGTGAGTCCGACCAGTCTTCCAAATCTACATAGGTCCCACCTCTCACAGAAGCCAGCCCTGACAATACAAGCAGCCCTGATGGCTCCCTGATAGGGACGCCCTATGTGGTTCTGCCACGTGATGAAGCTGACTTCAGCATTCACTGGACAATCCTGGATCTATGTCCTTTAATTGCTGCATGTGTACTCATCCTGAAATGCTCAACCAACGTGAGGGAAGAACCCACAGATCAGGCCTCTCTTGAACTTTCAGAAACGCTCAGCTGGGAACTGGGTCAGTAGCCGAGCACTGAATTAGACTAGGGGCGCTCACTGCTGTGTGACTATGGCTTTGTCTTTTTAGAGTCTGGAGTACCCAGTGCAGAGATGGACAATGGTAGTGCTCCATCCAACACGGTGCCAAGTCAGAAGTCTGGCATTCTGTGAACAAACATGCGAGGGACAGACCCACAGAACAGGGAGCCTGCAGGGCAGACTGAGCCCGGGGGGGTCAGCACCGTGTCATGCCAACACCAACATGGGAGCTTCTGCAATGTGGTACCAGGGCTGGCTCCATGTTAGCTCCATCTCCATGAAAGAGGAGGAGGATGGCGGTCCTCCCCCGTGAACATGGCAGAGCTGCTCAACTGTCTCTCTTTCTGTTGCAAGCTAGCTTTCACCTAACAGGGGCATCAGGCAAAGCTTAACACCTCAACAGCATTGGGTAGAGGGCAGATATTCTTCTCTCTTCACCTGGGAAACACACGTGATAAGGCCTACCTCCAAGCTGACTGTGCAGCCTAATCTATTTGATCGTTCATGATAACAGCTAACATTTATTGAGCCCTCAACAACATGGCTGATTCTGCTCTGTGCACTTTACATAGATTATTTGCTTAACTTGATTAACCTCCATTAATTGTTGAGTGAGGATTCAGTTAGAGGAACGTGAGTCCAGGGCATGGACTTTTCCTTCATCTGTAAATTAGATGAAAGACTGGCCTAGGGCCCCACCCTAGGCTCCTAGGAATAGCAGTTGTTATTATCATTACTTTCCATCCTGATTCCTCTGGTATTGGTGTCTAGCTTGGTTGCTGCCTTACTCCTACACTCTTGATATGTACACCCCCTACAGTTAATTATCCCACACCAGACATTGCATATACACGTGGATTGTGCAGGTCCCACTGGCTGGGGGGACAGCCATAATGAGTAGGACCCATAGGGACTTTACTAGCATTTGTCCCAGAGAGCAACTCAGATGTGGTCCCAGAACTGTCTCTGCAGAAGCAGGTTCTGTTCTCATCACTGAACTTGTGTGTTGCTTCCCTTTCTATTGATTCTGGAATGTTCTCTCCAAGGTCAACAGGGATCATGGCTTATTCAACTCTGCCTTGATCCCCAACAACCCCCACCACCGCCACCCCTGAAGATGCCCAGAGAGTGCCCTGGCAGGGTGCATGGTTTGGGTAGAGCATCCAGTAATGGCAGGAGCTGCTTCTTACTTGTGAAGAAAGACGATCTCCACATTGACATCGTCCCGGTCCTTGTGTAGAAAGTCCTTCAGGAAGTTGGAAACACTCTCCAGAGTGATATGTCCACAGACCACAATGTGCCTGAACAGGAGAGGCCAGTTAGCTCAGGCCAGGCGCAGCAACATGACCCCACACCCCAACCCTGGCAAGGCAGAAGAAGCAAGACAGCTGCAGGGCAAGCGTTCATCTCCACCCTTCTCTTCCATAAAGCCAGCTCCCACCCCCAGAGGGCTGTGAGGCAAAGCGGCGGTGCTAGCAGGTGCTCAGAGACTCCCAGACAGAACAGGCATATGGCTTCTCACCTGATGCTGCACAAAATCCTATTAAAAGCCCAACCATTTGGCCAAGTGGTTTTAGGCATTTAACAATAAGTGACATTATGCTTGAGCTTAAATGCTGCACTATCAAGTCCCTTGCAGATTCATATCTCTCCCTTTCTGCCCACAAAGCGTCCTCCCGGGAGATTTACAGTATGAGTCTTGGTTTATGACATAGAGCTTATCAGGTAATGAGATAACAAATCTTGCTGAAACGATGATTTTGTGTGTAAGAAAGCGGACTTTTATCAGGGTGGCTAATGTGTGGCTTGACACGTTATAGGCTCTGCTGGTCATAAGCAGTAAAAAGGAAATTTTGCATTTTTCCACCATAACTCCTCCGACAATGGGGGCATGGAACACTTTACAGTAAGTGAGCATTACTCAGGGCTAAATGGGGAGAGAATGCCTACGGAATCAAAGATCACACGCAGCCATGCGTCCCTGCAATGCTCAGAGGGTACCTGCGATTTCTGGAAGGGCGAAGGTATTGGCTTCAAGATGGGAAGAAGCAAGGAACGAGTAGGGTTGGAACTGCTTGCTTTGCCCTAGACTGGTGTTTTGGGAAACAGTGTCTGAGCCCAGGAAATGAGCACTTCCCCCAGAAACGTTGAGAGCAGCATCCCTCCAATACCTGTGGGCACCTGGTCCAATCTAATTTTGGCACTAGGCTACCCCGTGTCCACTTTATTTGCTATATGATGTCCCAATTAGGAGTAAGCACTTTGGAGCACGAGTTTACCCCAAAAACCGAAAGCTGGGGACTGACTGTGGAGACACAGCTGATATCTTCCAGAGATGAGACTGTGTGTAGCATGGGGCTCGGTGTATGACCCTGGGCTCCCCTGACTGGCAGGGATAGAGGACGGATCGCTATGTGTGCTTTAAGACTTGGGCAGGTGGTGAGCACGCAGTACGGTAATTTCCTGGGTAAAATTTAACACGGCTGGGTCCTTTGCACTTCGTAATTGCTCTGTGCACATTCCAGTAAGGCAGAAAGCTCATTGGTTGGAGGCAGCTCATAATGGGAGGCAGCAATGATGGCTTCTGCAATGTTCCATTAGATGCCATTACAAGAGCCTGCCCTTTCGTTGTAATTTGGTGCTTGACTAAGTATGTGAGAATAATGCAGTAAACTCATTGGTGAAAGGATAATGATGCAGAACAAAGAGTAAATCAATAAAATGCACGAGGCAGTTAATAATATCTCCATTATGGACTGTTATTGTTACGGTGGTGCACTTAGCGATCCAGCAAGCGGAGGCCGTCAAGGGGGAGGGGAGATGTCACTGGTTCTTAAGGAGAGAGCCAGGATCCCTCTGCCCTGCAGCCAGTGCTCACGTATGCCCGAAGCCTGTTCACAAGGTCCCTCTTGACTACAAGGCTGTGAAATACACAGTGTATCAGACTATACAATACCAGGGAACACGTGGATTATACTCACGTAACTATTTACTATGTCATATTTGTAAATATTTCCTGTGGCACATGTGATTTTATAGGGAAAAATCTAGCTGCAGTGGTGGGCATTTGGTAGGGCAGTTAAGCTCGACTTGGGACACTTGCGTCCCATACGGGAGTGCCTAAATTCCAGTCCCAGTGGTGTCGCTCCCAATTCCAGCTTTTTGCTAATGTGCACCCCTGGGAGGCAGCAGTAATGGCTCAAGTAATTGGATCCTTGCCGGCTATAGGAAAGACCTTGATTGAGTTCCTGGCTCCCAGCTTGGCCTGTCCCAGCATCTCCTGTCATGGAGAGTGAATCAGTGGATGGGGGCTATATATATTCCCCCAATCTGCTTTTCAAATAAACTAAATAAATTTTAAAATCGGGCTGCAAGTGAATTTACAGGTGCTAGATAAGGTCTCTGATTCTGAACTTTCCAAATGTATTCAAAGTGACCAGGAAACAGGTTTCCTCCTCCAGACCAGACCGCCCCCCCACCCCGACCCTGCCAACAAATGTAATACAGCTGCTCAATACCATTCTACTGCTTTCTGCCCACAGAGTTCCAAGTTTAAGAACAAGGCCACCACAAATCCAATGCACGGGTATCCCCGCAGGCCAGGTATAGCTGAGGCTGTTCTTGTCTTATGGATGTGAAAGTCACAGAGGATTCTCTGCTTCCAAAGGTGTGTGGCATCCTGGTCAAGTTTCTCATCCATATTTAACACAAAAGGAAGCTCAGAGGTTAAAACCACCCAGCCAGCCGCCCACACAGGGCACTGTGAAGTTCAAAGCTCTCTCGTAGTCGAAGCCCAGGTATTACTCAAAGCTGGACCCCAGTCAATGATAGGTCAGTGGAAATGCCTGACACCCATCCTTCCTACCCTGTACGTGAAAGACTGCAGGCGCATCTGCCAGCAGCCTCTCTCCCTCCTCTGAAATCATTCATCCCTGGAAAAGATGTGTGTGAAGTGGGAGGGGAGGAGACGAGCCTCCCCCCGCTACCCAGCCCTGGAATCAAAGGCTCAGCTGGTTGATTTATTCAGCCTTAGAAAAAGCCAGGGTTCTCTTACTTGGAAATGTGCTGGGTACATATAAAATATATTCCAATGCAATCAATATTATCCCTTAAGCCTTTAATTAGCTTTCACTTCTCTTAAGAAGTAGACAAATGCTGGCAGGAGAGGGAAGGGAAAAAAAAAAAAAGGAATGGCTTTTCCATTTGGCGCTAGCTGTCCAATACCATTCTAGACAATTGAAAATATATATCTTTTAACTACAACCTGATTTCTGGGGTGGAGAGCAGTCTTTATCAAAAAGGAAGGAAAAAAAAAACTTCCTTCAACATAATTGGTATTTTTGCTCAGAAAACGCGAGATTGATTGAAAGCAGGTTGCCTTTTTGCCCACGGAGAGTTATTAGGTACATTATCATGGCGACCTTGGAGGACCCATACTGTTCCAATCTGTCTTGTATCTGATCTGAAGATGTACGGCCTCCCCCTTTTATGCCAATAACCATCCCCCTCCATTTTGTTTTCCCTGCAGTGAAAGTTAGCAAGGAGCTCACATATTGAAAATGTTCAAATGCACTTGGAATTGACGGATGGGAGAGGCCGCCCTTTCTAAGTCAGCACCAGCATTAGATCTGCTTCCGCCAGCCGGGGTCTGGGGAAGCACCCACTGGAGGCCCTGCAGAAGCGTGAAGGGTGGACGGTGACTATGGAAAAATTACTGAAAATTCCAGGGGCGATTGCTTAAGGAAAGATATTATGGGGAAAACAGAGGCAGAATTTATGGTATCTTCAATGATTACAAATACGATAGAAAACAGTCAAAGGTTGAGAGCAGGGGTGAGTGTTCACAGGGTGTGATATGAATAACGCTCAAAAGATCCCCCTCCCAAACGACCTCTGCCGGGTCCCCTGATTCTGACAAATCTAACACGTGAGATTCACACCCGACAGCCCCGGCTTAACTCACTCGCCAACAACTGAGAGTCCTGGACAAGGTACTAACTCTGCATTTTACAACTAACAAGTCAGAGTTGGACTCCCAGAGGCTGGAGCTACTCCCGGACTCATGAGATTATCCTGAGAATTGATTTAAAGAGATAAGGGTCTTGTGCAGGGGCCGGTCCACCGTAAGCATGACATGGTGGGATTCAGGTGACATCCGCATGCAATAAACACAGGGTGTTCTGTGGCCCTGTGACCACATCTAATCCTCAAGCACCTTGTGTTCTTACTCTGTCCTTTCAGATAACCCCTCGGGACTCCAAGGCCCTTAAGCTGCGCGCCCGACATCCCAGAGCGGGCAATCCAGCCCCAGTATCACAAAGATGAGGGAGTGGGGGAAAGGCATGGGTATTTCAGTTTTTGCTCTTTCCGGGCGGGCAGGCAGGGCTAGACCAAAAGGCCCTCGTGGGTACCTGAGAAGGGGGTGCTGGGTGGGTCCTCAGTGGGCTGGGACCTGGGGTGGATACAACACCACAGTCGTAGCATCACTCCCTTCCGGCTGCAAAGGTGACATCACAAGACTCAGCAAAGGCTGAGCGATGGGCAGAGGCCCCAGCTCCCACCTGTGAGAAACTTCTACACTCAACTTTCAGTGTTAGCCATGATGTGTGGTGAGCCACGGGGCTGCCAATGAATGCAGATGCCCATTTTAGACATTATCTGCCACATCCACCACACCCGGCTTGGGACTGCCTCACCAGCTTGGTATCCAGAGGATAGCACGGGTCTCGGTGGCTCCTTTAGAACAGGGAATGTTTAGGAAAGTTAGGCCATGAAAGCAGCTAAAGTTGTCCCCATGACTCCCAATTTGAACTTTTATAGATGGCTGGCCATTGTCATGACTGACATCCACAGGGCCTGCCCACTCGGTGTCTGAAGATGGCCAACAGCCCTACACCAGTAATCATTTCAGATATGACTGCCAAGGCCAATGCTGTGGTGCAGCGGGTTAGCGCCCTGAAACATCGGCATCCCATATGGGTGCCAGTTCATATCCCGGCTGCTCCACTTCCGATCCGGCTCTCTGCTATGGCCTGGGAAGGCAGTGGAGGATGGCCCAAGTCCTTGGGCCCCTGCACCCATGTGGGAGACCCAGAGGAAGCTCCTGGCTCCTGGCTTCAGACTGGCACAGCTCCAGCCATTGCAGTCAGTTGGAGATTGAACCAGCAAATGGAAGACACCTCTCTCTTTCTCTCTGCCACTCCTTCTCTCTCTGTGGAACTCTTTCAAATGAATGGAAAACTCTTAAAAAAGAGAGAAAAGAAAACATTTTAAAAAAAAGATATGACTGGCCTTTTGGTTT